AAAAAAATTTAAAAGAAATGTCTACAACTTTTTTTGTTTAATACCACAGCCTTAGCCTTCTTCAACATACTACTGGGTGATAATTGATCAAAAATACATCACATTGTAGAACCGGGTTCAATTTGTTGATGTGTCTAATCAGTTGTAAACTTTTTAAATGTTTCCAGACATGGACTGCTGGAATCTTAAACAGATTCAGTATCCTATGCTGAAAAAAAAGCCATTACAAAATAAAGGTGTTGAAAATAAAGACTTTGTCCTTTTCAAAAAGAGGTAGCTGCTTAAATTTTTTTCAGTTGGAATTATTGTGGGAGAAGTAAAGAAATCTGTGATTCTTGGAAGAAATTCCAGGAAGCCTAGCCTTAGGAGCAGCCAGCTAGCTAGTAGAGTTATAGCTTTCTCTCTAGGAAATGGGGCATTGGGGAAAAATTAATCTGTACTTTCAAAATTGTTGTTTTTGTTTCTTTGTAAACTTGTTATATACAGTTACAATCTTGATTTGACTACAAATGTAAAGGACTTCATTTAGTTGCCAGCTCCAAACACAAAAAAATGATTTACTTCTTCTTGTAGCAAAGTATTTTATAGTTTAATAATTAATATGTATTAAAATACGTATATGCAATTGTTTTATTTGTGAGTACATTTGATTAGTGTCTAAGTTTCAAAAAATATAAAGATCAAAATGACCAAATGTAGTGGCAAACTGTTTATAATTTGTAGCATTATTCACAACCGAAAGCCTTTGAATAATTATAAGATATAATATGTTATTTCTACTAACAGTCTGTGATGTACAAAGTGATAGTTGAGGTAATACAATTGTCAACAAAGTACATTACTGTATGGATCTAGCATATTTAATTACTATATCTAAATCTCATGCTAATCTGATGGATAGACAACTGAAAGATGATTTGTGGACTGCTTGATCTTGTACTTTTGCATGAAATCTGCTTGACATCTGTGTTTTCTTACCTGCAAAATGTTAGGCAATACACAAATAACAATAACAAAGAGCAGCTAAACTATTTTTAAAACATAAAATTTAAAGCAAATGATTAGGTTCTAAAATGATCCAAAACATATAATATGTACTTCACAGTACATATTATCAAAATAGGTTTAGAAAATACATCAAATCCATACAACTAAACCACTATGCAGTGAAAATTGTCCATCATTAAACCCTTAAAACAGAGAGTTAGCAATTAAGGTCTTTCACTTTCAATTCTTCTCCAGTTTGACGACAACAGGCTTTGATTTCTTAACATCTTTAGTTGAGGAGAATTGATCAATCAGGTTTCTTTTAGTTTCTGCTACTTCCAGTGCTTGATTATTTTCAGCAGTCCTTTGCTTCTTAGTTTGAGTCACATTTGGGCTACTGGCCTCATCTCCAGATTCAGATTCCTGTTTAAGAAATAAGTATACTTAAGTCAATGTTGTTTTGGTTCAATGTAAGACCATTAGTTTAGTGCTTACTTCAGACTGTCCATCTTGGTCATCTTCATCAAGCATGATGGATAGGTGGTCCTGATCATCAACCAAAGATGGACAGTAATGGTGAACTAATTCGGCATCATAGGTTATCCCGACAACTGGTATAGGCATGGCTCGGTTCTTGAAATGATCGGCTTTAGCAGAAACCTTAAAAACCATTGCTTTGTTACGAACCTCTTCCATACCAGTTGGTAGTGGAGAGCCATCCTGGAAAAATGTTTTTAAATAACCAAGAGTTAAGTAGCAAATATATGTATAGATTATATATATATAAATTTCAATTTGATTGCAAATTTATTTACCATTGAGTATTTGGTCCGGAGATCGTAGGCAGTCTTCCCAGCTATTTCACAGCCCTCCTTGTCCCATAAGAGGAATGGAGCATCAGTTGTCTTGTCACCTACCCTAACAACCAGCTTGTATCTTAAGGTACCCTCTTGCCACTTTGCACGACATGTTTGACATTGCAGACTTCCATCCTCCATGTTCAGCTTCTTAAAGCAGCCATCCGATCTACAGGAATGGTAATACCAATTCCTGGTACTCTCAACGGACACAATCCTTGCAGGTACCCAATAGTATCCTTCCTGTTAGATTAAAAATTTTAGTTAATGGTTAAGTTATGATTTAAACTAAAGAGTAGATCTAAAATTAGGTAAAATAGTACCTCTGCTCTTTTATAAAGATCCTTGATAGTGGTAACTACCATTGGAGACTTAGAATTTTCTGCACTATTGACATAAGACATCACAGACAAACTCTGTATGCTTCTTGGTGGGCTGTGAGCAACCTTCAAACTGAATAAAAGTAGAGATTTACAATTTAGTAAGAATTTATTTAAGATAGGTGATTAGTGAAAGAAATGAAGTTGCATTACCTATCTTTGAACTCCTTAAATTCCTTGCAATCATGATTGAACCATATTTGTGTAGCATTGTAGGAACTGGAAAGTCTGACTTCATCTACAAAATGGGAAAAGGGTAACTTAAAATCAGAACAAAGAATAAAAGTATATATGAAAAAAAATATATACTGCACTTACTGTCCAATTGTTTTGCTCGACAAAGTTGCAGCAAAATAATCAAAGGACCTTCAACATGGTTCTTGAAATAATCGATGACAGTATCCACATGGTGATCCCACACTGTACACTTAATACGACATCCCCTAAAATTGAGATAAATTAAGCTGTAATCAGATACAATTATTACTCAAAATCAGAAAACCTTACTCTTATGTGTATTATTTGTTTTATTATGCATTTTATAGAGTATGTGTTTGAATTGAGTAATGAAAAATGTTTTTTAAGCTAAGATGTTTTTTTAATTTTTTTTTTTTTTACTTTGATAAATAAGTGAAGTATGATTAGTAATTGTTTTTGTACAGAAATCACAGTTGGGCCAAAAAAATAAAAAGGTTGAATTGCTAATATGGAAAACAGCAGATTGGATTATCAAGAACATACTTTGACCTGTGAAAAATCAAGAAAATCAGATAAGTTTTTTATATACTAAAGTCTATTAATTTTTTTTTTGTTCAGTAATTATGAATGTTTTAATTAAATACTATGTGTTTTACTTGATTAATACAGTGAAACAAAGCTAAAAGAGCACTGTAACTAAGCCAAACATTCAAAGATGGGCTTGTAATGAAGAACCGAAGATTGGAGCATAGCAGAATCAAGCTAAGTTTTATACTGTATGTCTATTATTGAAATCTTTTTAAGTATTTATTATTGGTTTAATTAAATCCTAATTTTTTTTAGTTGATTACTACAGTGGAGAAAATCTAAAAGAGGACTGGAACTAAGCCTAAAATTCAAAGATGGCTTATCATGAAGAACAGAAGATTGAAACATTAGAGTTAAAGATAAGTTGTATACTCTATGTCTACTTTTTTTTTTTCAGTATTTATGAATGTTCTCCTTAAGACCTATTAAATTAAAATAGAGCATGTTAAATCCTACTATATATAACAGAAAAGCAGTACTGTAACTATTGAAATATTATTAGGATTATTAGAATCTCAGTATGTTTAAATAGGGAATTAAGGATTGACTACTATACTTCCAACTGAAAAAGTAGGTAATAAGTAGAAAGGAAACTTACTGGCCATCTTCAATAAGAAAATCGAGAAGTTTGGAAGGAAAACCAGCTATGGTGAGTTGTTTAGGACTGTAGAACTCCACAACTATTCCAATGACATCTATAATGAAAATAAGGCCATTAAAAAAGAATAAATTAGAAAAATAAAACATAGTAAATATAAGATAGAGAAAAGAAATAATAGAAAATATATAAATCATACCAATCAAATGCTTGTCAGACACACTACCAGACATTAAGTCCGAAAAAGACTTAATCCGAAACATGAGGTTGGGAAATCCCTTTCGCCTATGTCTCTCCACATGAGTTTCATGAGTGAATCTAATCATGTATGTGTGATCAGTGGTTTTGTACTGATAGTAGTGTGAGATTACTGCAAAATCCTTTATAGCATAAACCTTGCCTTCTTTCAACAGTTTAGAAAACTGATCGACACAATCTTTTGGAATATTCCCATGAACATATGTGCCCTAAAAAGACAGAAATAATTGTTTGGTTTAACATTTTTGTAATTAAGATTTTCAGTTGTACTGGAAAAAAATAGATTACCTCACTGTCATGAAACAAACATTCTTGGCTTTTGATTGCTTCTGAATTTCTCCCTTCTGGTACATTATAGGTTCGAACCAATCTTAATCTTATTGCCTTTTTGTATGTAGATATCCTCAGGTCTTTACCTAGAATGTAGAGTGGAGCCATTGGCAGATTTTCAGAAACAGCAAATTTGAAAGAAAAGTGAATCAAACGTAGCTTCAAAATGAGAATGGTGGTAGAGAATGAAGATGTCGTACCAAGTTTTTATAGAGCCAAGTTTTGAAGGCTGAGATCAAACCACCTTTACGCACGTTTGCAGATGCATTATGATGATATCTGGGAAGAAGAAACAACACATATGGAAAGCTGCAAAAAATTTGAATTCATATATATATTTATGGATAGCCGTAGCTTATATATGTAATATATATGTAATATATCTCTAATATGTATGTATTCGATGAAGATTTTTACATATAACCATATGCTTTGTTAGTAGCATTTAAGTCATCGACGGCTGAACAGATTCCAAGTGAATTGGGACTCCAAAAGGGGTTCTAAATATAGCTTTAGTTTTCAATTCCAATACAAACACAATTATTTGTTGCAGTTAGTATTTATTATTTATATGTATAATAAAATTGATTCGAAAAAATAGGCAACAAATTAGCCATAAAGAAAACGGCAGCGTTTTCACTGGGCGGGAATTTGCAGCAATTTGATTGGCCAAGATCTTATGGCTTTATTATATAGTAGGATGAGATAAATAACCTACATGCATTTTTAAGTTTAGACAAGAGTCCAATTTGACCTTTGTTCCCGAATCCCGATTGGCACGTGTTGTACGCCGTTACGAAAGATATGAAAAATGGCGCCCACCTTCACTCACACTCTTCAATAGCTGCCATTCGTTTCAACTTTCAACCTCTCTTCTTTCCGTCTTCTCCCTCTGGTATGTGTTCTCTACCCTCAATACGATTTGGGGGGCTTGTTGGGTGCTGGGAGTATATCTGTATATGTATTATTCTTCGTACATTGCAGAGATTGGAAATTGTTGTTTTCCCCCCCTTTATTTTAAAATCTCTTTCGGTACTTTAGTAATCTTGGTTGAACACTGTTGTTTATATGATCAAATAACTGGAATAGGGATAAGACGATCTGTTTGTGTTTTTGTCCGTGTTACTAATCTGGAGTAATTTGTTTCTCATCTGCTTCAATGCACAACCTTGATGTTCAAACCCCAATATGTTTGGTTAGAGATTAGAACTGAGCTTTCTCAATAATGAGGATAGGAATTTTAATTTTATTACTAGAATTATATATCACGTCTTGAACTTGTGCCTGGAGATTAGAATTTGTCAAGGTTTTACCCTGGATCATCTTTACAAGTTGTGATTTCTGATATCAGCCACCATAGGTAGTCCATCATCTTCATCTTCTTCTTCTTCTACTGAATCATATCACACTTACTATCTAGCTTTCTTAGTTTATCCTTTTTCTCATGCGTTTGCCTTTCAATTGACATGGTTCTTCAAACATTGGATGTTAAGACTTGCAGATTAGTTTCCAAGAGTTCAAAACCAAGCTGCTTGAATCTTTTGAGGAAAAATTGGAGGAAGCTCAAATGGTGCTACGTGTTGATCCTCATGATTTTGTCCCAATTATGTATACTTCTGAAAAAAGTTGTTACGAAGAATGGATGATATTTGGACCAACACTTCTAATTGTCGGAGTGGGTTTGTTAATGTGTTGGAGAATGCGAGATGGCATGGGTGTTGGAGGTACAGGGGGTAAAGATGGCCGTGGAATATTCAACATAAGAAAGGCGCCTATCACAAAAGTTGATAAGAATGCAAAAAACAAGGCTAGTATTTATATTTATTGTTCTGTTTGTATTTCTTTAAAAGAATGTTACTTACAGTTAATTATGTCTCTTGTCCTTACAATCTTATATTTTCTTCCAGATCTATTTCAAAGATGTTGCAGGATGTGATGAAGCAAAGCAGGAAATAATGGAGTTTGTACACTTTCTCAAGAACCCTAAGAAGTATGAGGAGTTGGGGGCAAAGATTCCAAAAGGTGCTTTATTAGTAGGCCCTCCAGGCACAGGAAAAACTCTGTTAGCTAAAGCAACTGCAGGTGAATCTGCTGTGCCTTTTCTATCTATTTCTGGCTCTGACTTTATGGAAATGTTTGTTGGTGTTGGCCTGGCAAGAGTTAGAAACCTGTTTCAAGAGGCTAGGCAATGTGCACCTAGCATCATTTTTATTGATGAAATTGATACAATTGGCCGAGCAAGGGGCCACAGTGGTTTCTCAGGTGGTAGTGCTGAGCGTGAAAGTACCCTGAACCAGTTGCTGATTGAGATGGATGGATTTGGAACTACATCTGATGTGGTTGTTCTGGCGGGGACAAACAGACCAGATATTTTAGACAAGGCCTTACTAAGGCCTGGACGATTTGACAGACAGATTACCATAGATAATCCTGACATCAAAGGTCGTGAAGAGATTTTTAGAATCTACCTGCAAAAGATTAAGCTTGATCAGGTACCATCATATTACTCCCAGAGACTGGCAGCCCTTACTCCTGGATTTGCTGGAGCAGATATTGCAAATGTTTGTAATGAAGGCGCTTTAATTGCGGCAAGACATGAAGAAACACAAGTGAAAATGGAACATTTTGATGCAGCTATAGATCGGATCAGTGGTGGTTTCGAGAAGAAGAACAAGGTAACTCATTTTTGAATGATGTATACTGTCTTTCTCTTCTGAAAAAAAAAAAAAAAAAAGAAGAAAAACCTCCACCTCCCTCCTTTCATTATGGTACTTTAGAGGCATGCTCTATCCAATCTTTCTCATCTCTCAGTTGTTTTCTATTGTGCACATTGCCTGAGATACATTTAATTGTGTGCTTTTTTGAAGTTGAAGCAACTGGGACATCCTGTTCTTATTTCATATGTACATGTGTTGTTTCTGGTGTCCTACATTTGTTCCTGTATTCTGTGTTTGTGTTCTAGTCATATACTACTGTGCATTTAAATATAATAGATGTATATGCGCCTTTCATAATAGAATATTAGTCTCATTACTGAATCTTAATATCTTATTGACATTGAATACCAATATCTCAACAGGTAATAAGCAAACTTAAACGGCGAACTGTTGCATACCATGAATCTGGTCATGCTGTTGCTGGGTGGCTTCTAGAACATGCAGAACCCTTGTTGAAGGTCACCATTGTTCCTTGTGGTACTGCAACACTTGGCTTTGCCCAGTATGTGCCTAATGAGAACCTCCTGATGACCAAAGAGCAGCTTTTTGACATGACATGCATGACACTTGGTGGCCGGGCTGCAGAACAGGTAGCTCTACCATTCGATGCAAGCTGTTATTTGCATATCTGGAAGTGCTTACTATATCTATATCTTCCATCCTCCAAAGTGCTGCAACTCTGGCACTGAATATTCCTAGATGCAATCTCATGTATTCACAGACAATCTTCTTCTGTCCTAATTTTTAAGGCCACAATTATAGCATTTTTTTAGGCCTAATTTTTAACTAGTTCACCTCTGTTTTCTCTTTTTGGCTTAAGGTTTTATTGGGAAAAATTTCTACTGCAGCGCAAAATGACTTGGAGATAGTAACAAAAATGACATATGATCAAGTTGCTGTATATGGTTTCAGTGAGAAAGTTGGCCTGCTCTCTTTTCCTCAGAGAGAGGACGGATTTGAAATGAGCAGGCCTTACAGTAACAAAACAGCTGCAATTATTGATAGTGAAGTTCGAGAATGGGTTGGCAAAGCATATGAAAAGACAGTCCAATTGATCGAAGAACACAAAGAACAGGTAGCTCAAATTGCCGAGCTCTTGTTAGAAAAGGAAGTTCTTCACCCAGATGACTTAGTCCAGGTACTTGGTGAACGCCCTTTCAAGTCAATTGAGGCGACCAATTATGACAGATTTCAGCAGGGATTTCAGCAGGAAGACGAGAAAGCTGAGCAAATCCGTGAAACATGAAAATTTGTTATTGGGAAATTTTTAGTCAGATGTTTGTGGATATTACAATGACAGGAAAAAGGTGGAGACCCAGGATTTGGTGTGGTGTATAGTGCATACTATGGCCTGTGTACATTTGTTGAATACTGGCTTCATATTTTCAGATTCCTTTTACTATTTTCAATTGCCCTGTATTTCTAGCATTGTTTATTTGTATCTTTGCCATGGATGCATCACAATTGCCATTAGTTCAGATGACAAAATATCTTTTTAACCATTAAAGAATCACTTTTATTCATATATATTAGAATAAACGGTAAAATTCCCTAGTTATTCTTCAAATGAATATCTTATACACCTCTATTTTTACCATTCACAAATAGTTATTCTCTACATGGAGTGTTGATTTATAAGTGATAATTGTAGGAGTCGAAATTTATTATTGGGAACATCTCTAGCCGTTGTAGTTAAATTCAATGACCCTCGAAACTTTTATATTCAAAAATTAATACATGAAAAATAATAGATTAATTGAAAGGTTACAAGAAAAAAAGGTTCATTTTGGTGCGGTTGGACACGATTCTATGAGAATAAAGGTCAAAATAGTCACTAAAAATTGTAATTGAGTCTTTGAAAATGCAATCCCCATCAAAGTTGGTCAGGTAACCATTTTCAAATTCAACTCGCTTAAGAATTGTTGATTGACTTTCTTGATTTGAATTAATTAAATATGAGCAATTTAGACTAATTTACTTTCTTCTGATCATTTATAGATTATGATCACAAGTTTACTTTCACTCAGAGTTCACCTTTATATAGCAATAGGTTTCACTCTAGGTGCCCGCACGAGTTTAGCTCATTGGTTCAATTTTGATAGCGGCAGTGTTAGGATTATGTCTAACATGGACAGATTTTTAGTACGCACCAACATCTGATCATGTTTGCTGAGCCATTGAATTACTGTAATTTACATCATCTCCGATACTCTCGTCAGTGTGGGGCGTTGGGGGATTCAATTCCAAAAATCAATGGTCCCTAACTCAATTAGAGTCAATGACATTTTTTGTGAGATAAATGTGACTAGAGTCTAATTTGACCTTTATTCCCGAATCCCGATTGGCACGCGTTGTACGCCCGTTACGAAAGCTCTCTATAAAATGGCGGCCACCTTCACTCACACTCTTCAATAGCTTTTGAACCTCTCTTCTTTCCATCTCTTTCTCTGGTATGTGTTCTCTACCCTCCATGCCTCAATACGATTTGGGGGGCTAGTTGTGTCCTGGGAGTATATCTGTATATGTATTGTATTATTCTTGGTACTTTGCAGAGATTGGAAATTGTTGGGTTTTTCCCCTTTATTTTAAAATCTCTTTCGGTACTTTAGTAATGTTGGTTGAACACTGTTGTTTACTTGTTTATATGATCAAATCAGGGATATCGAGGGTGAAAAATAAATAAATGAGTCTTTGCTACATGGATATTCGAGAACTGGAATAGGGATAAGACGATCTGTTTGTGTTTTTGTCCTTGTTACTAATCTGGAGTAATTTGTTTCTCATCTGCTTCAAGGCACAACCTTGATGTTCAAACCCCAATATGTTTGGTTAGGGATTAGAACTCTTTCGTGGTTAATCGTGTTGCAAATTGATCATGAAACTTGATAACCATAAATACAGATTTACAAATATAGAATAGAAACTACAGCTGTTAAACAGATAACCATTCCATTTGGCAAATGCCTTTTACCATCCAGTTATCTGTTGAATTTTATGAGCTTTCATTTCACTGAAATGCAGGCAACCAGCTTTTAATTGGAAGATTGTGAGTCCATTTGGAAATATCTTCTAGTCTATTTATTTGTTAAGGGGTTGGAGATTAGTATGGGATCTTTGGGTCTGTGTATATGTACAAAAACATATCACATTTATATCTCTGGAATTGCTGGTTTTTATGCTTTATGCTCTTGATCAGGCATTTTCTGCTCATTAGACTAATGTTCATCTTCTACTTCATTTTATCTTCTCAGGCCAAAATGGAGCATGAGGATCACTGCCAGCAAGATGCAGAACCAAAATATGAGTGCCTTCTTTTTGGTAATCCATAAATCCATTGTATACATTTTACTTCTGCAGGAAAAAGAGATGCCATTACAATTGTCTTACATTAATGTTTGTTCTGAATTTTCAGATGTTGATGATACTCTTTACCCTTTTAGTTCTGGTATAGCAGAACAATGCTACAAGAAAATAAATGGTAATTATCAGCATTTGTTGTTCAACTCTTTAGAATTGCTATTCTGGTGTCACCATATTTGTGTTGTAAATTGATTCTTAGACAAAAATGCATCCAACTAAATTATCAATCCATGACTTTGCTGTGTATTCTAGAATATATGATTGAAAAGCTTGGCATTGAGGCTACCAAATCTCTGGAAATGTGTGTGCGACTCTATAAGGACTATGGAACAACAATGGCTGGTCTGAGGGTATGATCTTTTATCATTGTTACTTTACACAATGAGCAATATTAACAAGAACTCTATTAGCTCAAAACTGACTAGTTTATGTTACATTTTTCCTCTCTCCAGGCTGTTGGCTATGACTTTGATTATGATGACTACCATAGGTATCAGTTTATTATCTGGTTGTGGATATGTTGTCGAGTTAAGTGATAAGCACCTAATCTTATTTCTTTGTCCACAGCTTTGTGCATGGAGGATTGCCTTATGAGCTCTTAAAGCCTGACCCTGTTCTGAAGAATCTTTTACATAGCTTGCCTGTCCGGAAAGTTGTAAGTTTCTTAGTAGTTTATATCTGGAAAGTGAAACATCTGCAAATTTATCTTGAATTTTGACTGTCTTGTGGATATGAACGTGTAACAGATATTCTCCAATGCAAATGAAGCTCATGTGGCCAAGATTCTAAGCAGATTGGGTTTAGAGGACTGCTTTGATGATATTATTTGCTTTGAGACACTGAACCCTATTCACAATAATAGTGTACAGGGCATGGATGGTGGTATGAGAGACAATTAAAATGCCATCTTCATTCTTCAAATCTTAAAAGCTTCAAAATATGTCCCACTTATTGCTATTTAAATGACTTCAGGACTCCCCAAGACCCCAATTGTATGCAAACCATCTGAAGAAGCGTTTGAACGAGCTTTTGAAATTGCTAAAATTAACCCCCATAAGACGGTAAGATCCAACCTATTCTTTGATTAGTCGTTGACCATAACTCTATAAGCATTTGTGTTCAGTCTTTTGCCCGTTGAACCTTATTGTCATCTAATAATAATGTATCTTTCTTCTGCCACCAGCTGTTTTTTGATGACTCCATCCGTAACCTGGAGACTGCTAAACGCACTGGCCTCAGCACTGTCCGGGTAAGTTGACTTCGGATGTAATCATCTCTCTGTCATTCTAACAAAACATATCTCCCATCTATCTATAGTGCTTATTATAATGTTCGGTTATTTGTGAATAGGTTGGTGCCTCTCATCGGACAGATGGCGTGGATTATGCTTTTGAGAGTATTCACAATATGAAGGAAGCACTACCAGAGATATGGGAAGCTGTTAAAAAGTCTGATGTCTGCTATTCAGAGAAGACTCCAATTGGAGTCAGAGCTTAGTTAAAAACAAGCATTGCATGTACTGGGGTTTCTTCTTCCTTGTACTGCACTTTTAAACTGTAAATTTCTTGTTGTGCAAAAGCTTTCTCAGACTTGTTAACCAAGTGGGAATGCACAGCATATGATGATACTGTATTAATATTTGCACTGTTAAAGAACACCCCTCAATCCTGTGTTTCTGTTAAGTCACTATTTTATTATACTCTCTAGTTCTTGAATCTTTGATTTACGAAAAGGTTGGCAGCTGCTATCACGCATAACCTGTAAAATTAAATAATAATGCATGTATTCAACACTCAATAGTAATTAAATATTAATGATTTAATCAATATATAATACAAAATAATGCTATAATTAAATTAAATATCAAAGTTATAATACAAAGCTATCATCATTGTCGTCGCTATAAGTTTCTGAAGCTTGAGCACTGGAAGAAATGAGTAAAGCTCAAATGCAACTGGAAGTAGCGAGAATGACTGAGGAGACGCTTCGTCTCGATTGTCTTAAAGTCACGGGAGCATGCCAATCTATGGCAATGGAATTGGAGCAATCAAAGAACCGAGTGAGTTCTCTCGAGGAGCTCGTTGGAAACTACAGTCTAATCTTGGAAAAAGCCCTATCAGTCAAGTTGATTCTCTGGACGGAAAGCTAGGCTCTCCGTTCTCCGAAGACATGGAAGACGACTCCCCCAAGAAGAAGAACAATGTCAGCGTGCTAAAGAAGATCAGTGTGTTGTTGAAAAAGGGCCAGAAATAGACAAAACCCATTGCAGGTAGCCATAAATCTCTCGATTTCTTCCATTATGCGATTATGATTCCATTGTTTTAACAAGTGAATACATATAACCAGTCTGTTTTGATGCCCATTCTTGACAGGTGGTTCTTTTGTAATAAACATATTAGTAGACTTTTGTATAGCTATTATTATGATTATGATGTGGGCATTGTAGCAGATAGTTGGAGGTGTAGCAATTGTTCCCTGCATTTTTATGTGTTTATTATGTTAATTGGCAAACAGTTTGGTCTGCCTGTCTATTTTAACAATCTCAAGTAATTTGATGCTATGACTGATCTGTGAATTTTAAGTCTCTATAGTTTCATAATTTGGGAAATCTATACATGTTAAGTGGAATTATGTGAACTATCGATTGGGGCCTATTATGATGACAATTTTTTTTTCAATAGTTATGCTGTGCAACCGAATGTACGATGCGCATGTTGCATACGGTTCAAAACGACGTCGTTTTGATTAAAAACGCGCGTCCCACTTTAAAAAAAAAAATCAGGTTCGACTCTCAGCAATAGCATTATTGTGGATATATAATTATGAAATTGTGGATATATAGTTATGAAATTGTGGTTATATAGTTATGAATTTATGGATATTTAGTTCATTCATTGTGGATATTTAATTCAATCATATATTGTGGATATTTAGTTCATTCATTGTGAATTTTTACTTCATTCATTCATTCATTGTGGATTTTTACTTCATTCATTCATTCATTATGGATTTTTACTTCATTCATTCACTGTGGATATATAGTTATGAAATTGTGGATATATAGTTATGAAATTGTGGTTATATAGTTATGAATTTATGGATATTTAGTTCATTCATTGTGGATATTTAGTTCAATCATATATTGTGGATATTTAGTTCATTCATTGTGGATTTTTACTTCATTCATTCATTCATTGTGGATTTTTACTTCATTCATTCATTCATTGTGGATTTTTACTTCATTCATTCACTGTGGATATATAGTTATGAAATTGTGGATATATAGTTATGAAATTGTGGTTATATAGTTATGAATTTCTGGATATATAAAAATGCTATTGCCAGGAATCGAACCTGATTTCTTCTTTAAGTGGGACACGCGTTTTTTTAACTAAAACGGCGTCGTTTTGCAACCGTATGTACCTTGCAAGATGCATTCGGTTGCACAGCATAATTTGCGTTTTTTTTTTTTGAGTGACGAGGAAATCTTCAATCACTGTTTGATGGTGTGAACGGGATAAATTTAGCCTTGCTATTCTGTGAACCTATTTAGATTATTTATAGTTGATCGACTCAAACTAAAAATATTAATAAGTTATTCCTATTGAGAGTCGAACTTGTAAGTTTGTTGTTATAAGTCAACAATTTAATCAATTTATTAAAATTGTCTTCTTTTTTTTTTTTTTTTTTTTTCTTTGGAGTTACAACATCTAGTATCTAGACTTCTAAACTTGTAATTGCATTATATCGAGCACATAGGCTTTAAAAAAAAATTTATCGAGCACATAGTCCTGGATACATGCTTTAATTTATTAAAAAATGTAATTCTTAAAAAAATAAAAATAAAAACAATTGGGCATCTGCTAGTACTATTCCAGCGTAAAAGAAAGAGTATGTAGTTATACTATGGAACCATTCTACTAATATTTTTCACATCCAGTTTTAAGTTTTACCCACCTTTCACTATTATCACCATCTTCACTATTGTCATCATCGTCACTATCGTCATCGTCACCGCTATCATCGTCATCATCACGATCATCGCTATCATTGTCGTTGTCGTGACCGCTATCATCGACATAGTCATCACCACTATCATCGTCACTGCTTTCATCATCGTCGTCGCTATCGTCACTGCTATCATCGTCGTCGTCGCTATCGTCATTGCTATCATCATCGTCGTCGCTATCGTTACTGCTATCATCATCGTCGTCATCATCATCATCAATGAATTCATAATCATCATCAATGAAATCATCATCATCATCAATGGATTCATTGTAGATCCATTCAAGAAAGAGGTTGAACAAAGAGTAAAGGATAATCAGGATAAGCTGAGAAGCTGTAATGAAACCCATAAACCTGAATATGATTCTATAGTTGCCATTTTTGAAATAATATACATAACATAAAGTTGATGCTTGTAGAAGAAGACAATACAACCAAACCAATATAGCAACCTTGGTAAACATGATTAATAATATCTAAATAGCTTGTAGAATGATAGAATGATAGAATGACGAAAGAAGATTATAGAATGATGAAGAAAATTATAGAATGATAAAGGGTTTATATAGTATTAGCTAGTTATTATGTTTAACGATTTTAGTATAATTGGGAAACCATTAGTTAATCTTAAACCAGTTAGGATTTTAGTATTTTAGTATGATAGGCCAATTTTAATCCAATTAGGATTTTAATATGATGGGTATAACATTTCTATAATTTATCTCGTTAATATATATAAATTATATTTTATAAATTAAATTAAATATCAAAGTTATAATACAAAATAATACTATATATTTATTTACCAAGTATTTTATTAATACCATGAAAAAATTAAAAAAATCTACAATCTACAATTCTAATAAGAGCCAATATTGTTAGGCCCTTAACTGGAAAAAAATGTCGGTATAATTATTGTTTCTTAAAATGAATGGGTCATAGTATTTTGATTTTAGTATTTTTAATGATTTTCCTTATTTACCCTTTATTATATTATTTTTCTTTCCTTAAATAACCTTAAATTCCGTTAGTATAAACTTTGTTAATAGAATATTCCGTTAACTATTTATTATTCTTAACTTACTCATTAATTTCTATAAGAAAGGTCTTAGGTTCAAACCTCATTCCAATTAGAGTTAGCATAATTGTTAAACATATACTACGAATATGTTAAAATGTATTAAAAAATAAAATATAAAATTTAACATAAACTTTGGTCAAATAATTAGCCTGACTAAATACATAGCATTCAATGATTATAAATCATGAACTTTGATAATCATTTGATTTTCTTTCATTAAAAAAAAAACAATAAATTTAAGTTCATTTTTTTTTCGTTTAATTAATCTTCTTTTGACTATTGAAAACAAAACTTAATATTTCAATTATGCTTTTATCAATGCATGAAAACTTCTAAAGAAATTTGTAAGTTAATTTTTACTATATTATTATAATAATATCTATTGTAACCTTATATTTTGAATTATTTATTATCATAATCTATTGACAGCAATTGTCATGGACAAACTCTCAAAACAATTTGTCTCAACAACGAATGAATTTTTTTTTTTATTTTTAAAATTCAATGATTTCATTATTGTGGACGAAAAGTATGTACGCCACTTTATTCAATCGTTATGCTGTGGAACTGTGTCCACCTTGCAATGTGGACACAGTTCTGTGTTCAAAATTACTGAACTATATGTTCATAATATAAAGATATATATTCATAATTTTTTAACTTCATATTCATAATTATTGAACTCTATATTCACAATTACAGAACTCTATGTTCATAATTATAAAGCTATATATTCATAATTTTTTAACTTCACATTCACAATTATTGAATCTCTATATTCATAATTATGTTTACAACTCTATGTTCATAATTATAGAACTATATGTTCATAATTTTTGAACTATATATTCATAATTATGAACAATTTTGGAACCGTGTCCACCTTTATCCACCTTGCAAGGTGAACACGGTTCCACATCATTTTCTCACTTTATTGCTCTTATTACTTAAATTAAAAAATAAATTAGTAGCTACAACAAAAAAATAATATATATGCATTTAATTAAGGGTGTTGCTATTTGCACCACCCTTTGACTAAAATGGAGTATAAAGTACATTGAAAATATAAAAAGGTGATAATTTATAATAAATACATAGGTGGTGCAAATAGCCTAATGGGGAGTCAAAATGCTATTTGCACCACCTTAGTAAAACTGCATTTATTAGATTTAAGTAATAATTAATTAATTCAAAATTTAATTCATTAAAACAAAAAAAAAAAAAAAAAAAAAAAACCATCGCCTTCTCCGGTGAGAAGGCCATGGACATGCCTTCTCACCGGAGAAGGTGACCCATGTAGCCTTCTCCGGCGGGAAGGCAGCCAACCCACTTACAGGACTGGTCCTATCATTTTATAGGCCCGGGGCAAAGTAAAAACAATGGCCCTTAATATATAAAGTTAATATATATATATATATATATATATATATATATATATATATATATATATATATATATATATAATTTAAAAGATTGTGTTAATTGCGGATTGTGCGGTCCTTGTCTCTAGCTTTCACAAAGCAAGTTCCTATCGTTCGTACCTCGGTGTTATTTTAGATTCATGTTTGTGTTTATTTCGTTTCTTTCATTCATGTTCCATTAATTTTGTACGCAGGGATGCTAATACGGTAGCTCATGCCTTAGCAAAGCATGTTAGTGCGGTTGATACTCGTAATGTCTGGAGGGATTTTCTACCTCCCTTTGTTTCTTCTACTGATTAATGCAATCCGGTTTCCTTGGCTTTCAAAAAATATAAGCATAATGAAGTATGGAAAAAAGTTTATTGTGTTCAAATTTATTGGTAAAGTTTTATATTTAATATAGTTTGTAGATATATTCATTTAAACGTCAATTATAATTAATTTGATTCCACATATATAAAGAGGAGAAATTAGATAAAAAATAAATAAAGTTTTTACATAAACAATACATAAATAATCTTTTTCAAATGAATAAGTTGTTTGTGGAAATTTTTGACAAATATCGCCTGTTATTTTATTTTTACAAATTTTATTTAAATATATTAGTTATATAATTAAAGTAGTTATTTCAAATTCAAGCTTCTTTAAAAAAAATCAAATTCAAATAATAATACAAAACTTTAAAATCAACATAATAATAACATAATTAAACTTTTAAAATAATAATTCGTGCATCGCACGAGACAATTATTAGTTTAAATTAAAATAAATGAATAATTAAAAAAAAATATATAAAAATAATATATTATTATTATTATTGTTAGTATTATTATTATTATTATTATTATTATTATTATTTATCTATTCACCTCGAAATTTGTTTTAGCCAAAAATTATTATTTTATTATTTATCTATATAAGTAAGACGAACATAATTTATTTTTCCATTCTAGGTTTGAAATTTTAATAAATTCTCAAAGTCCAGTCACATAGGGGGCAGTTTGGTCATTAGGTCGAAAACGGAATTTCGCTCTCAAAAACCCTCACCGTCGAGGTTGGCAAATTATTTACGACGATTCGTCTTCACAGTGCTACGCCGGCCGGTCCTCGCTGCAGACGGAGCTATATAGAGAGAGAAGAAAGTGGAAAGTCAGTTAGTAGAGTTCGTTGTATGCCTACAGAGATCAGAATGGCTAAGCGCGAGCTATCCAGTACTTTGAAAAACTTAAAGGTAAAAAGGAAAATTAATTTGGACAGAAAATACTTGAATTTTGTATTTTTTTTTTGTTTGTTTTTCAAATCCATGCAAAATACTGATTTAGTTGAAAGCTATGAGCTGGGTTTTGCTTACATAAATCTGGGAATTTATTACTATTCGGGTTGTTTTTCTAATCGTCATTTTCTTTAGCCTTACTTTCGGCAATGCGCGGTAATTTTTAGATTCTTCTGTCTTCAAGATAGTACTATTGATGAACTGTGAGCTAATTTGAAAAAGTTGGGCCGTTATTTGTTGCAGTTTATGCAAAGGGCAGCACAAAAGGAGGAGAAAGTTAAGAAGGAAGAAGACAACTTGCCTGATAGTAAATTCCCTGTTTCCAGTGCCCCCAAACGATGGTAATTCTTTCTTCTCCCTTTCATTGTTGCCATTATATGTGGACCTGTTTTGGTTCTTATGGTAAATATAATGTGGAATTACCATAATGTGTCAGTTTATCTAGCTAGCCTTCCCCTGAGTTCTACTATTTGCATTGAATTCCAATTCATTTTTAGGTCTTTAATCAATAATCAGTGTTGGATTAGGGAATGGGGGGTTTTTGGTGCAGGTAAGGGGTTTCGGAGATTGGTTAAATGCGGAGTGTCAAATTGCCCATTTTGGGGACCTAATTGATGATTGTGTAAGCTTAATTTCTTATATGGAGGTGTTGTTTAACCTGAGCAATAGCAGGTTAGAGTTAATGACTGTGTGCTGCACTATGCCAGCAGCTCTCGTTTGGTCCTTAATTAGCTAAAATGGCATGACTATTTGTGGAAGTTGAATATTGGCTTATCTCTCAAGTAGATGAGAACTTTTATAGTCTCAACATTTAGAATTTGGTTTGGTATATGAATCCTTACTTTTGGGTGTGTCTGAGATCGTAGTATCTTCCTGGGGTACAGATAGTGTGATTCCATTACTTTGCACCTTTCTAAGCTTTTCCTTATGTTTGGGTTGGAGGTTTTGGTCTTTCTGACTTTTTCTTTCTGGTGGGGAACTTTTGTAATATGGATTGCATGTTCACAGATCCATCCTTTTTGGTTTGTGTTCCTTTTATGAATTGAAATGGTGTTTGTTCTTCTTCTCTGTAATACAAAGTTGAACTACAACAGCAACTGCTTATATAGGCTTTTGGTTTGCACTATAATTTGTCAATGCCGTGACTATGCAACCGAGATCAGCGTTTAATTTTTATATTTATAATCTTTTGGCTCTAAGTGTGACAACCATGATTATATACTGATTGCTGATTTTGCTTTCCTATGAAGTAAAGGTTTGCAAAATTTATTTTTATCTCGAAAAGTGTTGTATCCGCCTCTTTCATGGCTTCATGGTTTGAATGTCTGTATGTGTAGATTCCGTTTATAAGGAAAGCACAAAAAATGCACCGATAGGATAAATTCTTTCGATTTCCTTTTTTGTAATTAGCTGACATTTGATTCTAATGACTTTTCAATTGCAGTGTTGTAATTATGGAAGGAGATCCTCATCCTGGGGCAAGAAAGGGCCGGATGTCATTTCAAAATTTTAACCCTTCTATTGATGTGAGTATAAGGTTTAAATGACTTGAAAATTAACCTTTCTATTCATGCACTCCGCACTCGCCTGGCTTTTTGTCTGATTACATGCAATACCTGTGTTGTAGAAACTAAATGAAGATGTGCCAAACCAATCTGAAGCCTCTGCAACATCTTCGGGCAGAACAAGTGAAATGAATTCTAATAGGTAATGATTTGGTGATTATTTCATGTTTATTACATAATCATTTGTCGTAAATAAACTCAGAAAAGCATCTACATAATCCGAATCCTATTTTTGACATAAGGTTTAAATATGTCATAATGCCATATGATTAAGTTATTACTATTATGGCCATGTGTCTTGTTAATCTGTCATAATTTTTACATAAATTGGGCACTGAACTAAAAATTTTGAAGTTCATACTTGATCTATTCCTGAGGCGTGTTGTACATTTCTTTGATCAAGCTTTATTATATGATTTCGAAATCACTTATAGCTTTCTTATCCCTAGGCTGCATTCATTTCATAAAAGATTCAAACTTATTTAGCTCTTATTCTACATTTCTACCAACTACTGATTCCAACAGAGAAAACGGGTTCAGTCAAGATGGGCCAGAGAACTCAAAGCAGGATGACTCAAGCACAGACGCAAAGGGAGATAACAAGAGGAAGCAAGATGATGTAGAGCCTGATGTCCATTTCCCAAATAAATCGCATAAAAATGTGCATGGGCATGAAGGGCCCTCTCGAAGAAGCAATGAGAAGTTTCAGAAGAAACCCAAGCATGAAAAGCTGGATTGGAGTGTTCTTAGACCACCAAAGCATCAAAACAAAAAACACTAGGCAAAGGTGATTCTTTTTGGCCCTTTTGATAATTTTCTCGACATGCTTCTCTAGTCTGTTGTAGTACTATAAGCTTTTGTAGTATGGCTGTTAGCACTCCTAAATTGGTTTTCTTTTCTTCACTTCTTTCACCTTGTTGAGTTTATTGTTCTGTTGACCACATCATCTAACCATCATCACTGATGGTATATTGTATGTCTCAATTTACATCAAGAATGGTTTTCATTATAATATTTCTTGAAGTTTTATCACATGATCTTGTAGTGAATAGTGATACTATGATGGCTTTCTGAATTCTGATTTACCTTGTACTAAAGTTGATTCTATTCCATTGAACACAAGAATAATGTGAACTACTACATAGGATTATAACATAAAAATGGAATTCTTAGACTGCTCCTAGTAAGTAGTAAGCAACCAAAAATGAGGAATAAAAGAATACAACTTAGTGCAGGCTACTAATGTAACTGCAAGATCCTCGAGTAGGAGGATACTAATGCATCTGTAAGATTGGAGGATCAATTGTGCTCGGAGTCAAACTCTACGGGCATGATTCCAATCCGAATCTTAATCTCTAACAATATTGATTTCGGGAATCGTACTAGTTAATAGGTTTCCAACATGAGACTGCATGAAGAACCCTCCCTTTCCATCCTTGCAACAACCATTTCCCATCTTCATCAATGGAGAAATCCTTGTGGTATTCCGATTTCACTTTGTCCTTTACGCAGTTGGTAATCTCTTGATCAAGCGGCAGCTGCCGGAATCCGGCTCTCAGGCTTCTAACTTGCCATTGCTTGTACGTTTCTGGCCGCTCCACTCTCTCCGATCCTTCACAAGCTATGACGTTCAACGCATCTCTTCCATACAGCATTTCCTCGAACAGCTGCCGGTCCTTGTCCTCACGCGGCACTGTCGCCTCAAAGATGTCGAACAGGGAGGAGAAGTGGAAGAGCGCCTCCCGGAATCGCGTGACGAAGAACGGCGTGTTGTATGTGCCGTTCACGACTCCATGGATAAACACATCGGGATTGATCTTCCTGATCAGATCCAGTACAATGTCTCTCGGACTATCCGGCACTACCGTCTCGTCCGGCACGTTTCCCAGCCGGTCCAGGCAGTTCACCACCAGCACGTCGTCCCTGTCGATTTCTAGGTCTTCCAGTTTTATCGTGTCCCATTTCTGTGCTATCGCTTTGAACTCAAACGGGACCTTGAATCTCTTACAGTAATTGTCCAGGCGACGGCCGGTGGCCTTCACTCTATCCGCCGGACGGAACCCCGGCTGGGGAAAATCTATTCCGGTAATCCGAAGCCTCGGAGGCCCGCCCGGCCTCGTCGAGAGACCTTGAATAAGGCAGGGCCATTGAAATCCATACAGAATTCCGAAATCAATTATGTGTAGCCTCGGTGCTCCGGCTGCAACCTTCCTGATATATCTGTTGGCGAACATGTTCGACACCTTCTTGAAAGGGCTCGCCGTGATATACATCTGATAAGCTTTCAAGATATCCGCAGCTGAGATATTGCTGGGAGAGTTAGATATATACAATGCCGTCCCTGTTCCATTCAATCGCGCTTCGAGCGCATTGGCGAGATAAAACGCCATTCGTTCATGGCCATTTCCTTGAGGGGAAGAGTGGTCTCTTATCTTCTTCAGAAGCTGAGTCACCGTCCTGGTATCATAGCTTGCCATGGCCTGTGCACATTGAGTCAGTAAGCCGCTGAGGTCCACGAACTCCTTCTGGCTTTCTTTCTTCTTGCCGCGGCGGTTTCTCCCCCCTCCCTTGGATTGCCCCCTCTGCTGTAACTCAGTCTTGCTGTTTTTCTTCTTGGAACACAGCAAAACATCATCGTACATCTCTAATGGCTCCGGTTCATCGGCCGGGGCGTAACTCGCCAGGTGTTTGTTGCTTCTCTGCGTTTCTGCAGAACCATTGTCGGAGGAGGAGTAGTAGTAATGGTTTCTTTTCCCCTTGGACGGCGAATTTTCCCCCTCGCTCAGATTGAGAATATTACTGTCATTTGGAAGGCCTATTGCTGCTCCTGTGCTTGCATAGTGACTGAACAAAGAGTCGGGGAAGCCATTGGAGGAGCTCTGAAACTGAGGGCTTAAATCTGAATCGCCATTGTTGAGATCAGATGAACAGGTGCTGGGACTACTCCCCGCGAAACTGGGGGTGATGGATACATGCGAGTTTTCGCCCGAGGAGCCGTTAAGCACGTCGGAGAAGTATTTCTCGGTGGCGTGGAGAGCCATGCAGTCGCGAAACATGCAAGGCTGATTCTCCAGGTCCTCCTCCTCCATTAACATCTGGTTAATGTACTTGAGAATCGCATCGGAGTAGTCCCCTTCCGGCCCTTCCTCCCCTTCGCCTGCAGATCTCTCAACAAGGTTGAATCTCTGCTTCCCCTGATTCACTGGTTTTGAGTGGTGGTTGTAGACGAAATCATTTTGCGTGGTAAACAATTCTTGAACCAGAGCCTCCATCACAAGAAACCCCAAAGGAAAAAAAATCAAGAAATAAATGGAAGAGTGGAAGAACAGAGGGTCTGAAACAGTGGCGAAATGAGAGTGATTTGAAGAGAGGGTTATGGTTTCTGGAAAGGTTATGAAGTTTGGGTCTTTAATATAAGGATAAGAAAAAGGTTTGTGGCCCCCGACATGTTTACTTTGTTTAACACCACGCATGTTCCAGGAAGCAGAGCAGCCGCCAGCAGATTCCCGTGTGGCACCGGCTACCGCCGTTGCCCGTCTACCGTCACAGCGGACTAGTCAAAACCGTTCAAATCTGTTATTAGCCTTTTCACCTTTTTTTCTTACTCAGAAAGATAATTATGAACTTGTCAAGAAATTAGTCTAGATACATCTTATATATATTTTTTGAAACTAAAAGTTAATCTAGTTATATCTTGGATGTTAGTAAAGTGTTGGCTGCTAAAAACTACAGTAATTTGGATGCATCTTGGACCCGGAAAGTGGTAGCCAAAGTATGTGAAACATAATTTTTGGATCAAAGTACTTACGAAGGTTCTTGTATTATAGTGTTTTGTTCAATTTAGTCCTTATATCTCTATTTTGTTCAATTTAGTGTATGTACTTTCAAAAGTGCTGCAATTAAGGATAATAATTAACGGTGTTAATATTACCATTAATTTAGGGTTACGTTGACAATATTTATATTTCTACTCATATATTACTTTATGAATATTTAAAATTAATTATTTTTACCACTAATATATTAAATTAGTATGTCCAAAATAAATAATTACAATCATGTTTCTAATAAGATTCAGACAATTGTCCTTAGTTTTATTACTTTTTAAAGTATAGGGACTAAGTTGAATAGAATAAAGGTACAAGGAATAAATTGAACAAAACAGTATAGTACAGGGACTTCATAGGTACTTTGACATAATTTTTGTATATAACGATTACGAGTTCAATTCTTACACATATTTCTTGATCAAACCTGTTGCATAGTTTTTTTTTTTTTTTTTTTTTTTAATATTATTTACTTCTTTAAGTTATTGGGTTAATACAAAGTGAATTTTAAAGTCAAATTGTATAGTAAAACAAATAGTGTAAGTTTGACTTGATGTTTAAATAAAACTAGGAATCTTGTCTAAGTAATCAACATTTTTTACTCATTCTTCTTTCTTGTGCATGTGAAAAAACTTGGGCAAGAAGAATCAAGAAACATGATAACATATCACTTCATCCATAATTCATTACACTTAAAATACTCCGTAATACTCACCCTTTCAATTCAAAGTTCAAACATCACTATTTTTAAGCTCACCTTTTGACTTTTGTACCTTAAAACTTTTTTTTATTATTTTATAAAATGATTATACAATGTGGACCATTTCATTTTGGCCAAATAACACCCCAAAAAGAAAAAGATAAATGAGAAATAAATCACAATTTTATTCTTTTCGCCTATAAAAATTACTCTATTTTTTCATGTGATTTGTCATGTTCATTATTCATAAGTCATTTTTTTTGTTTATTTTAATATTTTAATTATTTTTAAAATTTTAAATTTATATATATATATTGTGTTTAATAATAATATTTTAACGTAATTTTTTTAAATATATAGCAAGTCATACCTATGGAAGGGTATAACCAATTAACCACCAATCAACACAAAATTCCAAATTAAAACAGTATTTTCAAATTAAATATATTTCATTCAAATCACATGTTGATAAGATCAAGATCGATAATATGACTTGTATTCTATTTTTCTCCTAAACATCATTCTAGAATTGCATCCCCATTGGCCATTTCCTTTGAACCATATAATATTATAATTTGATGCTTCAGTACTTGACACCAATAATTGCAATGCATTGTTGTGCTTAAATAAACTGTATCACGTCGTTGTCTTGACCAAAGCCACCAGGACCGAGCAACCGGAGGCTCCGGTGAACATAGTCGCAAATCGCAATCACATATGGCGTGGCGCTCAAGATCCTGGCTACCTTTGACTGGTCACCCCCAGCGGGTCCCACAGGTCTATGGGGGTTGGATTTTTTACTCTATTAATTAATTAATGTATTATCCCATCTAATCTCATCTAATTTTTATTGCTCCAAATCTGATTACTCAATACAAGCGTCATCCCTTACGTAAGCATTTCTACCACGTAGATAGCATTTATGTAGCAAGGATTCCCAGTATGCTTAATGCTAGAGTTTGGCCCTTGTGTTTTATAAACATTAATTATATCACCCTTCTAATTAGCCTGTCTTAAGTTCATTCCAAAGGGTTGAATTCTCAACCCCAAAAGTTCCAGACCTTGACTCGATAGAGTAATTAGAAAAATACTGAGCTACTTATGTGGCTTAACCTGTTTTAAGTTTTTAGCATTATGCAGATATTGAGAGTGAATGGGTACAATATCATTTTTTTTGTAATGATCGAAAGTTCTGACACGTAATATGTGATAACAAGTCATTAGACACTAATTTTAAAAGATAAGCAAGAACCTAACCAACAACCAATAAGTCATAGGCAATAATCATTAAATAAGAAAAAATCAAACACATATTAACAACGTATAAATACAAAAGAAAGGAACTACAATATACACACAAATACACAAATTAAACATCTAGATAGATAATACAACTCTAACTCAGCTATTCACACAGGAAGGTACGGTCTGTAGACAGACCTTTTAGTGCAAACGTGCGGTCATGTAACATTAAATATGCAAGAATGCACCACTAAGTGTTTAGAAATGCATCATGGTGTGGTGTATTTGTGCATATCACCGCAATACATTTTTGAACACATAGTGGTGCATTCATGCATATCTGATATGCATACCTGATAGTGCATGACCGCACGTTTCAAAGTGTGGTGCATTTGCCCACTTCATTCTATTACATTTTTAAACACATTGTAATGCCATTTATACATATTTACATGACCGCACGTTCACACGGGACAACTAGTGCGAATTGAAAGGCACATGGTATAGAAGTGTAGAAGCTCACATGTATTTTAATAAGAGTATTATTATTCTACAAAAATAATTTCCTCTTTCAGATTCTGTTCAGTGTTCTTCCATTATTTCATAAAATTTTGACAAGGAAAGTGAAAAGATTTGGTTTGCAGTTTCCAGTTTGCAGACAGAAATGGATGGGAAGATTATAATGATCAGTTATGAAGAGGCTGCCACAAACTCATAGCATAAATCACCCTTCCTTTCCAGCTCTGCAACATCCACTCCCCATCTTCTTCCACCGAGAAATCTCTATGGTATCCCATTCTAGTCTTCTCCTTCACTTCCTTGATGATCTCTCGGTGCAATGGCAGCGCCCGGAATCCGGCTCTCTGGGTCCTCATCTGCCATTGCTTGTACGTCTCCGGCCGCTCCACTCTCTCTCTCCCTTCGCACGCGATCACGTTCAGAACGTCTCGCCCCAGCAGCTCCTGCTCCGCCAGCAGCCGCCCTTCGTCCTCTCGCGGCATGGTGGCTTCGAACATGTCGAACAGGGCCGAGAAGTGGAAGTAGGCTTCCCGGAATCGCGTTGTGAAGAACGGGGCGTTGTACATCCCGTTGACGATCCCGTGGACGAAGAATTGGGGGTTTATTTTCTTGATTAGCTTGAGAACGTCGTCTCTGGGGCTGTTGTTCTCCATTAATGTCTCGTCCGGGACGTTTTTCATCCGGTATAAGCAGTTCGCGACTAGGATTTCGTCTTCCTGGATATTCAGATCTTCCGGGGTGATTTCTTCCCATTTCTTGGCTATGGCGGTGTACTGGAAGGGGACGTTGAATCTCCTGGCGAAATTCTCCAGGCGCCGCCCTGTTTCCTCTATTCTCTCCGCCGGGCGGAACCCCGGCTGGGGAAAGTCGATTCCGGTTATACGGAGCTGCGGCGGCCCGCCGGGGCGGAGGGAGATGCCGTGGATGATGCACGGCCATTGGAAGCCGTAGAGAATCCCGAAGTCGATGATGTGAATCTTCTCGGATTCTCTGGTTAGTTTCGCGATTGATTTGTTAGCGTATATGTTGGACATCCGCTTGAAAGGGCAGGCGGTTATGTATGTCTGATAAGCTTTGAGGTACTCGGCGGCCGACATTCTCCTCCGGGTTATGCTGGCGTACAATGATGTTCCGGTGCCGGCGGCGCGTGCCTCCACGGCGTTCGCGAAGCAATGGGCGAGTCGTTCGGCGGCGTCGCCGAACTGGGAGGAGTGTTGCCGGATAGCGGCGAGGCGGTGGTCGAAGTTCTTCTTGTCGTGGGCGGCCTCGGCTTGGGCGCAGCGGGCGAGGAGGTCGGTGAGGTCGACGATCTGCTTGGGCTTGGCGCCTTTCTTGCTCCCGCGCGGCCGCCCGCGCTTCGGGCCCTGCAAGTATTTCTTGTCTCGCGCTTCAGTTTCCGATGATTCGTCGGAGAGATAGGGGATTGAGTCGTCGTAGAATAAAGGATTCATGGAAGGACACAGCAGCGCCTTATCGTACTTCTCCGTTTTCTCCGGCTCTTGGTCGGAATTCCCAGCCGCCATCTGCTTGCTCCTCTGCCGCCCTTCTCCGCCGTCTTCCCGGTTGCGATTCCTCCTTCCATTGCTCCCTCCAGAACAGCCATTCCCGATTGGCTCCCCGGAGAATTGATTCCCAAACATGGATCCAGAGGAATTATTCATGGGAATCATAGGAATTTGTACTTGCTCAGGAAAAGGATTATATCCTGGCTGCAATTCCTGCAAACCAGTCTGAAATGTTTGGTTTCCGGGAAGGGGAAATTGTGCCGGGAAAGGCTGATTATCTGGGATTGAGAATTGGACATTTCTGTTTCCAGAATCAGAGAAGTTTCTATGATTTATAGGAGGGGGAGGGGGAGGGGGAGGGGGAGGGGGAGGATTCTCAGTTAGGGCATCATAGAATGATTTCTCGGCGGCCTGGAGAGCCATGCAATCTTGGAACATATAAG